TGTATGTGTGAATATATCTTTTTGATATATCGTTAAACCTATGGTCTTCAACTTTGATCTCTCCTAATTTCTATTTGTTTAAATTTGTGTAGGGTTTCCTCTTTGTCTGGTGCGCTACGAAAGTTGAAATCAAATTTGTCAGTTATATAAACCCAACAAGTGAAGACTACAATGGTGGATGTTGCGATGGTGTGTTTGGGAACTGTGGTAATAAATGCGATAATCGCTTCTACTTCTGCCTTGATACGCCTGGAAGGTATTCTACTTTATTCGAATTTTACTTTTTACTTTTTCAGTAGAAAATAAAATCACCATTTACAAAATAGTAAGACACAGTGCATTTATAAGCCATACACACATTCTTCAATAAACGGTAGCCTTATTATGATGCTCAAAGAATGAGGTTTGGTCTTGAGAAAAAGTCCTGTATTTTGCCAGGAATGAACCTGGACCGGCTGAGGTTGGAAGGCAATTATTATAACCCCCAAGCTACACATATACCGGTATTGACCAATGGAAAATAAACAATATAAATGTTTTGTATCGTACACTTCTAATATACTCAATGGCATATCTACGGGGGACTGGAGGGGCACGCCATTTCATTTTTTTTTTTCATTTTATTTACTTGATAAAAAATACAAAACTAAAAAAAGTACACAAGGCCAGACAATTAAAATGTTTTCAAGAGTTGGACCGGATTGCTAATAGCAAAATTAGCTACTTTCTATGTATCTCTCTAACCCCCATCCAACAAAATAAAATACAAATAGTTATGAGTACATGAAATTTATATAATGTATTACCATAACAATATTTTAACAATTAAAAATTAAGATATTTCGTTATAAAATGCATAAAAATTAGTTGCTGTACAGAGAATTCATAAAAAGTATTACAAATATCTTGCGCAAAATAAGCCCCCCTCCAAAAAAAACCCAAAAAACTCCCCTTCACTTAATCATCAGCCACCACCCTCTCCCCCATTAAACCATTAAACCTTCGCCAGCACCATCCCCATTGTCAACTTCTGGATACGCCTGAATGTACTACTGTGATATTGTATACAAAGAAATATTTTACAAAAACAGGCAGACAGCGTAGTGACATTGTATTCTAGTAGCCTAAAGACTACCATGATAAATCAGGACGACTTTTAGACATGTATAGATCTGAAATTATTGGTAAGCTCTATGGTACATCACAAAACTAAGTGGCGTAACGAAGGGACCTGAGCGGCACCTGGATAAGGACCTGAGCAGCCCTGGGGCTGGAACTGAGTAGAGCCCAGTGGGGTGTGGGAAAAACCCCGTCCGTTTTGGCATTTTTGACGTTTTAAGGGTATATCTTTGATGTGTTTTTCAAACGTTCTGTTCGTGACCTGAATATTAATGTAAAGATATTTTCTTAATATATTTTTATTTACACAGTTCGTCAGATTTTGACCAATGTCCCTTAGGTAGCATTAATATGGGTGAGGTTTACGCGAACAATGACGATTTTACATTTCCTGTGGGCGCCGGGGCAGCCGGAGGAATAGACAATCCATATATTTTCACTATGACGACGTTTACGGTGAGTATATTGTTAATCCAAATACAGAT